AACCAACTCTTTCCCTTAGTTTCTTTCTGTCTTCCCATGTATCCTCTATTGTATGCTCTTTGAGACTCTGTCCACTAGAACACCTCAATTATGTTTGTGTGTCCTTCATTTAGTAAACGCTTGATTTGCCTCCTAATGAATTGGGCAAAACGGGAGGGGGGAAAGAGGAATGTATTACTGAAGTGAAATAGTTGGTTGTGTATTTGTTTAAATCAGAATATTATCATCTTTTACTTATGCCTTTGTTATATTCCAACGTTTCCCTCTCAAGATTTTTCCTAAGCTTTTTTTTTTCTATAGATAAAAACGATTTAGTTTATGAGTTAAGTAAACATACTATAAAAGTTGACAAACTTATTGTACATAAAAGATTATAATTAAATGAAAGTATAAAAAATCTCTACACTTTCTAAAGAAAAATAACTTTGTAATACATATTCTTTTCATTAAAGGAACAAATTAAGAAAAAAAATTGATATTTCATTAAAAAGTGAGAACATAATTTTTTAGGATATTTTCAAATAGTAAAATAATAGTCATTGTGGGACAAAGATAGTATTATTCTGATCTTAAATATACATAAAAAAAATCCACACTAATTAAGAAAGTTAATTAATATTATTTAATTTCACTATTTTTTATAAACAACTTATTTTTCTAAACTATCAATCATCAAATGACTTCGAAGTTTCAAGTTTGTTTAAATCAAACACCTTGCTAACTATGAGCCTAACATATTTGGTTGCATTCCTAACTAGAGCAACTTGTACTACACAATTCTTCGTCACGTGGCCAAACTTGTCTTGGATAGTTGAGGATGACTTAAATGAATTAATTTATACTACTTATACTAACAACATGCATCTGTTTTTCGGTAGCTTATCTCATAAGAACTTCATAGTTAAGCGTGTTTGACTTGGAGTAATATAAGGATGGGTGACCTTCTGGAAAGTTTTCAAAAATTGAGTAATTAAGGACAAAACATGCTAAAAAGTTAAGTATTGTAAAATAAAATCCTTAAGAGGCCAAATATGAGTGGTTTGCAGCAACCAAATTTGCAACGTCTATAAAATTTAATAAGATAAAAAATAAATATTTAGCGACCAATTTAATTGATCACTAATTTGGTCATATACACTTCAGTGACCAAAATTATTGCAACCATTTTGCGACTGAATTAGCGACCGAAAATTTTTTCGTCGCTAAATAGCTTAGCGACCAGGGTTTTAGCAATTTAGTGACCGATTTTGGTGGTCGCTAAATTGTATATTTTTTTGTAGTGATATGAACAACAGGCACATCATACCACATCATATGCATACACTTCAACTAATGCATCATCGTGCATTTACCTACGAAGATCTCTTACAACAAAGTGAGCAATCTAAGTGGCTTGATCCTATCGAACCAACACATCCTTTTTACACATGCTAGGTCAACAACCAAATTGGGATACGAAATCCATAATTATTGATTTCTCAAATATTGTCACTTAAACTAAGAAGTCTAGTATTTTTGTCAAGGTATAACAATTTGGGTATGACCCCTACCATGACATAAGGTTACAAAACTAAGTCCTCTATGAAATTAGCTCACTAACTACCCTTTAAATATTGCGTCCCAACGATACTCAAATAGGGACTAAGTCTCTAACCTTGTAATTTACCTAGTTGATCACTTTATACATGTGTGTCTCGACCTTGCCTACATACAGTTCATCATTAGTCACTTATAGCCAATATGCCTTGACCTAACCCACATACCACATCAATTAAAGTCCTAAAGGAGACTCAACAATCCACTCTAAGAGAGAACACTTACTTAATGAGGTTTTTTAACAATTGGGCTCATAGAACACCACACCAATATCTACACAATGGAATATTCAACTTTCAAAAACACCTCCCATTTAATCTTGAGTCAATTAATATGCCTAAATGTCTAAAGTATTATCGGCATTACACCTCAATAATATCCATCTATATGCATTACCTCATGTCAATGAATATAAAGCTATCAACATTATTCGATTTATAGTAGAAGTGCACCTTAATGTTGTTCAACATATAATCATTCATATATATTATCCCAGATCAATATACATAGAACAATTATCACTAGTCAACATACAACATGCAATAAATTCATCTAACCTATTCGTGTTCACCAATTAATCATAAAAAAATAAGTTAAAATAAGGCAACCCATGCTCGATGCTATCCACCCTACACCTGACGTAATTAAGACAAAGAGTCCTCTGCCTCGTCTATGCCTGATGTCATACAACCTGCGCTCGACATGGATTAAGTATAGACCCTTAGGCCCTCACGCCTAGCCTCAAATCAAGAAAAGACAATTCTCTTTCCTCACATCTGGTGTCACTCCTTTGGTATCCAATGTCAATCCAAGCATAGTCAATTTTTTTTTACCTCAAGCCAATGCCATTCAAACGGCACCGATGCCATTCAACCCAAGTCAATATATTCTCTCTACTCACATCCAATGCCACCAATCTTGTGCCCGACATGAGTAAGACAAAGCACCCTTGTAACATCCCAGTTTTCAAAAAGGTTATTGTTATTATTATTATTATATGGTATTTGATCATAATTATTTTAATAATTATATAGAAATATTATTTTGTACGTTTTAAATAATTATTATTTTGGACCTATTTAAAATTAATTTTATGATACAATTTAAATTATTTATTATAAATTTAAAAGTTTAAGTAATAATTTATATATTTTAAAATGAGAAGGGTTATAATAACACTGGTATAACTTTTACTAAGTATTACATCGCTCAATAACTTTATATTAAATGTGAATTTTGTAAATCCAACCGTTAGATTGAAAGTTCATATCACTTTATATGTTTATATCAATTTTTGTTAAAATTGAACAACAACTTAAAATTTAGCGACCGAATTCAATTTCGTCGCTGATTTTAACTAATATTTAGCAATCGAATAATTACTGTATATGTATGTTGGAGTAGAGGGTGTCACATGTCACATTTGAAAAAACAACAATTTTTGAACAACAATCCTTCACAAAATACGGACCACCACCACATTTGTAAAACTTTATCATATGAGCTCCACCCTAAGGTCGCTAACAATAGAATCTCCTGGAAACTATGGAAGCTTGTCATAAGGTTTCCTTGTATGCCCTCCTTTTTTGGATCTAGATGATGCCTCTTGATTCTATACCATCCTATTACCCACTTCAAGATGTTCAAGCATTTTGGCCTTCTATACAAAAATTAAAAACTTAGTGATAGTCATTGGAACAATCATCCTCTTAATCTTATATCTCAGCCCCTTACTGGATTTTCTACATTTTTAGGTCTCAGAGGTTGCCTGAGAGTACAATTGAGCCAAAACCTCACTACATAGTCCAATACAAACATACCACTCTATTACAACCTTAGAAACTCTGCCTCCTTAGCATATCTCACACTCTTTGGAAAATACTTCCCAAGGAAGAGTTTCTTGAAAGCATTCCAAGAGACCACCCTCTGCGGGCTAGCAACATTTGTTGGTCCTTTTGAAACAATAATTATTTTTAATTTCATGACATGATTTTGGATTATATTATGATTGATTTTAAGATGCAAAACTTATCTCATTAAATTCACCTACTTGAAAACTATGAAATCTAATTGATGTTTGAACTCTAAAATGCAATGACAAGAATATCTCAAACGGATACAATTCTAACATAAATATAACTACATAATGAAAAATATAAATCATCTATCCTAGGTTTATCATGCAGCAAAACCTAGACATTATGCATGTACAATATGTATATACATCAAGATCTCAACGATCAATTGAAATCAAAAGTCGTAAAGTAATTGTTGGTCATCAAAGCAGTAAACAAATGATAGCATATGATGATCATGTTGTTCTCGCATTTGATGACGCATGATGCAAGTATGCACATTGATGTTTAGTATGCAAGATGTAACATATGATGATGAGTTAAGTGGTGGTTGTGCATGGCTTACCTGTGGTGGGATTGTATGATGATGTTGCAAGCAATTTGAAGCTTCAGTTGTAAGTTATGTTTATTCTACATGCATTCCCGTATTATTATATCTTGTGTTATTGTGTATCAAGTTTACCTTGTTGTTTGTTGTGTTAACTGCAATGATTATGTTTTGACATGGGAGCGAATCAGGTTTAGCTAAAGGATAGGTAGCTTGGAGTTGTTCATGTGGCCATCTAGAGGATGGTGGGAGTTGGAGACAACTGGTCTCATGACTTGTAGTTGTTTTGTTATAGGATCGACTCAGTATATAGTTATCTTTGATGTTTTGTGTAAATATTATATTTTTGGGATTTAGCCCCATAAGAGAATTTTGTTTATTGCTTTGATGATCAGGAACTCCTTTATGACTTTTGATTTCAATTGATCATTGAGATCCCAATGTATATATGTATTGCACATGCATGATGTCCAAGTTTTGCTGCATGATAAACTTAGGATAGATGATTTATGTTTTCGATTGTGTAATTATGTTTATGTTAGAGTTGTGCTAATATGAGACTTGTTGGATCGTTACACTTTGGAGTTCAAATATCAATTGGATTCCACAGTTTTTAAGTAGGTAAATTTAATGAGACAAGTTTCGCATCTTAAATCAAACATAATATAATTCAAAATCATGTCATAAAATCGAAATTAATTTTATTTCAAAAGGATCAAATTAATTCAAATTTAAAAGATAAAGAATCAAAGTGAACATTTTAAATGAGTATAATTTCACCTAAATGATATTCATTTCACTAGTGGAAAAAACACTTTTAAAATCAGTCATTTTTTACTTTTAAAATCGGTTCTCTGACCGATTTTAAAAGAACTGATTTTAAAAAGTGG